TTTTTGTTTTTTGATTTTGGGGGGGGGGGTTGGGTTGCACTGCAAATAATATATGTGCAGAGTGCATAGGAATTCATTATTTTTTTCAAATTATAATCCGGCTCTCCAACAGTTTGCGGGACTGTGACCCACCCTCTGTTCAAAAAGTTTGGGGACCTCTGATCTAAGTCATTAATAAAGATGTTGAACAGGACCGGGCCCAGGACGGAACCCTGCGGCACTCCCCTTGTCACTTCTTTCCAGGATGAAGAGGAAGCATTGGTGAGCACCCTCTGGGTTCGTCCATTTAACCAATTACAGATCCACCTCACCGTAGTTTTGCCTAGCCCACATTGGACTAGTTTCCTTGCCAGAAGGTCATGGGGGACCTTGTCGAAGGCCTTACTGAAATCCAGGTACGCTACATCCACGGCATTCCCCGCATCTATCCAGCTTGTAACGCTATCGAAAAAAGAGATCAGATTAGTCTGGCATTTTCTTCACAAATGCATTTCTTCATCTTTTTTGCCTCTCCACTGACAATCAAAAAGAAAAAAAACTGAAAAAAAACAGAAAGAAAGGCAAGAATTAGGTCAGGGACAAGCTGATTTTGAAGAAAAAACAATTATTTCTTTATTAAGAAGGCAGACAATGGAAAAAAATCCAGCAGAACAGACTCAGTTTGGTATAAGCTGTTTCTCAAAGGAAAAAGTCTGATGAGAAAAACCGTATTCCTGATCAATATAAGTTGACTGCAGGCTAAGCTTAAGGGGCTGAAGATTAAGCCACATATAGATTTTCCCACCCTTTAATGCAAAGAAAAGTTCAGGTAAACTGGATGGCTGAAGATGCAATACTGTCAGGCTTTCCTGTCACTGGTATGAAAGCCTTGATGAAGGGGATCATGCGAAGATCCTCTGGAGAATCTCTCTCTCTTCTTTCCGGTTCTGTTGCTGTAGAATCTGTTTCTCTCTTGCTTTGTACCTTTGCCAATTCTGTCTTGCTTTGTCCCTTTGTCTTTATTTAGCCTGTTCCTAACTTGGGGACTTTCACCTGGAGTGAAGAAGATACCTACAAAGCTCTGAACGGTTTGGGACCCGCCTACCTGCGTGACCGCATCTCTGTAAATGAACCCACATGATCACTTCAATCATCCGGAGAGGCCCTGCTCTCAATCCCACCAGCATTGCAGGCGCGATTGGTGGGGACGAGAGAGAGGGCCTTTTCGGTGGTGGCCCTTTGACTCTGGAACTCACTCCCTAAAGACATCAGACAGGCTCCACCTCTGGCAATCTTC